CCGGGCGGAGGCCTCTCCAAAGACGTCTCCGCGCCCGCACGCACCCCGCCCGGGGCCGCTCGCGGCGCAAAGCAAAACAGCTCTGTTTTGACAAACAAGCGGGTGTCGCGCGTATCGACCGCTGCGCGACAAAGGGCGATGCAGATTATGATTTCAGATAAATTCTAGACGAATATTACTTTATGGGAGTGGACACGAGTACACGATACGAAATATAATAAACAAACCAAAGTATCCTCGATTTTAGAATGTAGTTGTTAGTAGTTACCTACAAAGAGCTGTTCCCCAGCTATTGTAATTTATAAAAAATATCAAAAGCAACTCCAAATTTGTCCTTCAAGTTTTTGCTCGGATAGAGTAAAACTCACTTAAAAATGGCGTAGATATCATTTTGGACGAACTTTTCTCAATTAAAAAAAATATAAAAGTTAGAAATAATTCCAAAAAGTAATGCAGTTTAAGCATCACTATTTTTTTTCTTTTAATTAAAACAATATTATTGCCAAATGTTACAAAAAATTGTATTTTATAGTTGGGAGGGAAAACTAGGCATGAAGCAAAATAAAGATCGCCTCTTCTTAAGAGATCAACGAAATTTGGTGAAGAAAAAAAAAAACGATTGAGAATGAATGGACACCGTAGTGAAAAAAATTTTAGAGAAAAACTAAGTTATTTGGTTAGACAAACTTGTTTATTGATTTACAGAAAATTTAATTCAAACGCTAATTAAATTGCGTTTTGATTGCGATCTTCGAATATTATTAGAAATATGGCTTTCAGAAAGTGTGCAACAACGTGAAGTTTACAAATATAATAAAATGAAAATTGGAATTTAAAATAATACTTGAACAGTTTTATTTCAATTTTAAGTGAAGTTCTGTTTTTTTAAAAAAAAAGATTAACAATAGATCTTTTCAGGATCTCATAAATCTATCTTTTCTTAAGTCTAAGATATTTACTATATGTAATTGATTGTTGAAACTATTTTTTAAAGATGAAATTATATCAATTAACATTGATATAAAATAAGTTATCATAGACCGTTAAAATAACATTCAGTGAGGTACAAACAAAATTTTTACATCCGCGTTGAAAAGTAGTTTGTATATTTGATTGTGACCAATTGAGATTGACAGACGATGAATACGACTGAATTATCGCTTATTAAAACTTCCGATACAGTGTTACATTAATATTTGAACCCTAGTTGGATATGTCAGTTTGATAAATCCTGCCGATTCGTAAATTCGGTACACATATTGCAATGGTTACATTCCAATGAAAAAATAAGCTTCCTGGAACCACGTGAATGACATGTTTGTATTTTTCGCACGTGTTTCTCTCTGAAATGCTGGGAAATATATCATACGGTTTGCTGAAACATTGTGACACATATGAGGAGAGAATATACATTGGCCTAGAGCATATACCAAGACAGATTGTTTAAATTTCAATTATTAAAGCGTAACTCAGCGTGTGTGTGTGTGTGTGTGTATGTGTCTAGGAATACGGAAAGGATTCAATATGTACAAGCCTCGCCTATGATATTGTGATATCTTCCAATAGAGAAGAAACTTTTTATTTCCAATGGAAGCGGTCTCGTATAATGTCACATTTTTAAACATTAGAAATTTCAATTTTGTCTACAGAAAGAAAGTCACGAACGAGAAGGATCCAAAACCTGACAAGAAGCACGTGAACAAATAATATTTATTGTTACCAATGTCTAGTAATTTGGCAAATGAGACGCCATGAACTGCAATGCAGACAACTAAAATTCCAAATATTAGTGGATAACTCTATTTCTCTAGATTCATGGCTAATATTTTTTTATTTATTTCAATAATATGTACCATATTAAAACCGTCTGTATCTAAATACCCCAAAATCTAAAATCTACTTGTGTGCTTCTGAGTCCAGAGTGAGGTCAGATTGGGGGGAAATTCCAAAAAGAATCGAGTGGTTTCTAACAGATGCAAAGATGTTTTCTAAAAGTTCATTTAAGAGATAGAGTAGAAAAACAGCTATTCCTCTTGTAAAATTATACTCGTACAATATCAGCAATTCAATTCATTTTTTCGAAATCTTTAATCTAATTTAATTGATGTTGAACTTGAATCGATATTTACCCTGTAGATGAAGTTAACAGCAGTACAAAGTTAAATGATTTATTATTTACGACAAACTTTCCTATAAATAATATACATTAAATGCTGTAAGCAGGATGTAAATGAAAAGAAAATGCATTGGTGAAATATGTTAAACGCGTCTGAAAACACAACGCTGGCAAATTGTGATATTATATAAATTCCTCACACATCCAATGACTTTATTGTACGTGTTTATTCCTCGCATACGTGTAAGATATATCTAATAAATGCACTTTTTAAAGATAAATATTTATTGGTTTTATTATTTAAAAATACAATAACCAAGCTGGCAGAGTATCTTTGCTCGAACGGTAGATTTGAGTACGATTTTAAGACTAATTGTCTGTAAAGGTAGATTAGTAAACAGTAGTCTACACAAACATGTGTGAATTAGAAAACTGCGTATATTCATTCCCTGAGAATAAGAAAAGAAGTCTGTAAACTACCGTAAATAGAAATCTAATAAACAATTTAATTTGCTTCACATTGATTTTCATGACTTCTTACCTATACAAAATATCTAAACATAAGAGCAAGCAATAAGCTGCACTAGATGTTTGTCGCTTATTAGTTTCTTATTATTTCCCTTTTTACCACAAGACACGTTTAATGTCTCACGGGCTTGCAGCTTGTCTCGGCTCTCCGGTCTTCCGACGCTCTTTGAATCAACGGTCTGGGTGATACGAGGTTGGGTGATTGACGCATCACTCGTTCCAAGGAAGATAATGAGGACGGGCACAGGAATGAATAATTAGGGGCGATTCGGTGTCTGTACATTAAGGCATTGCGCCAGATTTCGCCTGGAAGAGTTTAGGGAGGTCTGGGTAACCGCTGATCAGTCACTGGATTCAATTCCGGCAGGAGACATGCACTCAACGACACATCACGAACATTTCCAGAACTTTGCGAGAATCAAACCCGTGACATCCTCATGTCAAGTTCGCTGAAAAAGGATTACCGTAATTCTAGTCGCTGCTGATGTCGGTTACACGGTTATTACGTAATGTAAAAAAGTATTGTCATGAATACGCACATTAAAAACAAACAAAAATGTTTTTATTGAAAAATAAGAGCTTTATAATTTCACCTTTCCCCACAAAACTGAACAAATAATTCATTATACATACGCATATGCTACAACGTTTTCGCGGTAGAATGATAGCTAGTTATTTGCTATAAATAAGTATACATTATAATATATAAATGTGCATTATACTAACAAAGAGTGCACAGTTACCTATTATCTACATACCAAAATTTATATAGACATAATGGTCCTAAAACTTATATAATTGAAAGCGACGCCAAATTTTAGGGGGGGTGATTCAAAATGTTTTTCGGCTATGCGCTGCACTCATTTGCCTTGTACCGCAAAGCATACAGCTCTCGAAAGAAGCTGCGATCGATCTGACGAAAGAAATCTTAATCCCCAAATTTTTACAGCCACGTTTTCGTCACCGTTCCTTGCAACATTATATAATTGTCCTAAAAAGTAGTCAAAATTAGTGGCCTCGACGACGAACTGCCGTCAAGTGGTTCCACTTTGCCTCCAGGTGCCCGCTTCCGGAGAGTGTGTTGCGGGTTGCATGTATACTTGTCTTCTCCTTGCATAATAATTTAGGTATTCATTCCGTGTTGGACCAAGTTGGTGCAGAACTGAGAGATAATTCGATTTCTTTCAGTTTCACATTTATGGTGTTATGTTTTATGGTTTATTATAATTGACACAAACTCTCCTATTTTCTTAGTAGACGTATGGAGGACGGTAATGTTTTAGTGTTTCTTCCCAATTAAATGAAATGGTGTAACTCTCTATAACCTAATAATTCTTATTCTTCTAGTTGTTATTTATCTTCTAACTCTGCATACAAAACTGTTTTGTGAACACCGTATGTAATTTTTTCTATGGAACGTGTAATTTCCTGTAAACACAATCGACTAGCGTACATGCGTGGGAGCACGAAGGGTGACAGTCATACGGGTAACTCGAATCGATCAGAACGGAATCACTAATGTCCTCGATAATTTCAAAAACTTCTTGCGCCTGTATTTTGCTTCTTTTGTAGGAAAATGTTTCTTCGAAGATATAATAATGATTTTCTATATTCCAACTGTAATATTTTTGGTGATAACACAAGTTTACCAAATAGAACTTTGGCAAATCATGGAATATATTTCCATCTTAGTACGCTTTTCAATCATAATTAAATTATTGTAAATATTAATATTGTGTTATGTTCACGACAAACATGATGCAAATTGCAAATTTCCTACTTTTTTAATATTTCCTCTCGAAATATTTAGGAACTTTCGTTTCTTCATGTGCTTAATATCTAGAAAATGTTTCTCGGCAGTTGAACATCACTTAAAAACATTTTCAGGTTCAATTGCACATATTACATGTGGCATAATATTCTTGGGAAAACAATCGTATTCGTCTCTTATGTTTTAAACTAGTTAGCAAATATAGAGTGTAGAGTCAAAGAAATGCATTTACTGACATATTACGTTAGATTTA